TTCATTTACAATTAACCCAAATATAAAATACTTCAGATTAAAAAATATGTTTATTTCTACTTTAGAAGAAAAAAAAAATGATGACAAAAACGCATTAAGTCATGATGTTATGTGGTACAAATACTAAAACATTTAGACAAAGCACTCTAATAGTGCATAGGTATTGATCTTTTGAGTAAAGACTACAAAATGGTATCAATAAATCAGTAAAATAAAATTTAAAAAATCAGGGTTCAGTGCACATTGCAAAATCTGCATTTTAAAAATATTTTGAATGGTTGGTCGTTATTTAATAATATATTTTAGACATTTTCATATTGAAATATTATAAATGTACTTGAAATTATTACAGAATATTTACATTACAGCAAGCGTTGACAGAGATGTTAGGAGGGAACGGATTAAGAAATTACTGACTAGAGTTGAAGCTTTGTGTTTTTCTTAGTCTTTTGATAATTTAAAGATTCTCGTCCCATCCAGTCCAAAATCACTTAATGACTGTTGGTGAAAGTTTGCTTTGCAACGAAGTTTGTTGAGTTTGCAATTTAACTTGCTGATTTCATCTTGAAATGTTTAACAATAGTTTTTAAAATTAATTGTTTTTCTTGCATTGACGTCTTTTCTACCCTTACCATCACTAATACAAGTATGTATGTTCTTCAACATGAAATCTATGGAGACAAGGAACAACATTCTATCTAAAAAGTCCATTTATACAATACAGTTCAGGGTCAGAGCAAATACAGACCTCTAATACAGTAGAGGTGAGATCAGATGCCATGAGGAGTGAACATCCCCTGCTGACCGGTCACACCAGCCGTGTACTCCTTGTCATGATCGGGAAATAACGAAAAAATCCGCCGCCAATTTAGTGTGTAAATAATGATCTAACAATAAGTGTGAAAAAAGTCAGTCTGCACTTGATTTAATGACATATTGTATTTGCTGACAAGGTCATTGTATCGTCCATAGAACTTGCGAAATGATGACTTTAAAGGAGTCTGTTGTTGACTTTCTTGTTTCAGCAACTTATTTTGTCAATTTTTTTTTATATATATTTTCCGAACTTTTTTTGATGTTCACTGAATGTGACATCTGAGCTTTTTAAAATGTTTATTGCTAACAACTTTTTCCTCTCAATTTTCAGACACATTATATACTGAAAGGAAAAAGAAACGCAGGGTAGCACAATATGCGATTTTTTTCTTTTGACCGCATGACCAAAAATTACGAAATTTTGAAATATATGACGTAACGTAGGGAAAGTGTTAACAAACAAAAAAACCTTGTAACTTGAGCCTACAAGTTTGTCAAAAATCATCTTGTACCATTTGATGAACTCAAGGTATACAAATTGTTTTTCAATCTTGTAACAGTTGACGGAAGTTCCATTGGGTCTTGCATGCCTAAGTAAGGACAAAGCAATTCATTAAGGGTTGCTGTGCAGTCGCTAGTAAATTTTCCCCATAGAGCCTCCTAGTCCTCGTCAGAGAGGGCCATGAATGAAATTTTTGTAATTTCCTTACATGGTAATAAGTCCTCGAACATTAATGTTCTAAAATTTTTTCCCATTTATATTTTGCTCTTAGTCATATTTTAAATTGCTAAACTTTTAATTCCGGAATGAATAAAGGAACTGTTCATGCCTAAATGTACATGCATTTCTTTTAATTACCTGTTAATGTTTCTCATATATTTGAGGTAGGCGGGAGAACAATACTATCGCACTCTAAAAAAAGTTTTACTTGTTTTTAAAATAAGATATTAGATTAAGAAAAACTAGTAATTATTAGTAATCCATTTAGTCAGAATAGCAAGTAAATGACTATCATGGTTAGTAATTGTAAACATAATTAGTAATAAGGATGAATTCATTTACTTATGAAATGATTTACTAAGTATCAATAGAATTACTTAAACTATAGGAATTATATTACTTAGTAAATGAACTACTCATTTTTGGTAAATTATTATTACTTAATTTAGAGATAATATGCTTTCTATTTACTAAATTTTATGAATTATTACTAAGTAAATGTAATACTGACATTTATTAAAATCTAGAATATTATTACTTAAAAGAATACTAAGTAAATGAAATACTTATCATATTAACTAAAATCGACATTATTTACTAGAAACACTGCAAGGTACCAACCCTCTGATAAGAGAGATAATTTTGAAAGTACAACATGTGAGTACTACTCACAGTTTTCTTTATCAGAATTCCCTTATCGAGCCCTCTGAGTAGTTTCTTAGACAAGATCTACTTCTGACGGAAACAATTATACTTTCTATTTCTTTTGCCAATTTCTTTGTAATTGTTTTATTATATCATTTGATTCCAACACCAAAAGCCTTATCAACTGAATATGTTGTATCTTTTTAAGGACCATTTTAAAAATAGTTTAATGTTTCAAGTACTTAATACAGCATTTTTATTAGTATGACTTTTTTTCACATGAAGGAATATTTAGAAGAAAGATAACTCCTCCTCAAAGACAATTAATATGATTCCAGCCAAAACTCTATTTTACATTTCAAGAATTCAATCCCAATAGTGATTAGACTACCATATTTAAGTAATTACTGCTCTGAATTCTCCTTGATTTAGTAAATAAATTATTAATTTAAATAAATCAATCAAATACAAATTAAACAAGATGTGTTTGTGAAACACTGATGCCCCTGTATGGCAACATAGCAAAGGTTAATCTTTTCTTATATGCAAATTTAATATATTGGTATTTCTTGATATCTCCAAGGTCAAGGTAATTGGTATCTAATGAAAGGTCTTGCCACAAAAAATACATATGTGAAATATGGAAACACTAGCCCCAACCCTTCAGAAGTTATGGTCAAGGTTACCAATTTTGAAATTTAGGTCAAACTCCAAGGTTCTAGGACAAAAGGTCAGATTTGGTGGTACCCAAAGAAAGGTATTGTCACAAGGATGAAATATGTAAAGTATGAATGCACTAACCCTAATTATTTTAAAGTTATAGTCAAGGATTGCTTTTTAAAAGTGGGTCAATCTCCAAGGTCAAGGTCAAAGGGTCAAAGTTCTTGATATCCAATAAATGGTCTTCTTACAGGGATTACATATATGTAAGTATGAAAGCACTACTCCTTACCGTTCAAAAGTTATGGCCAAGGTTAAAGTTTTTTCACAAGGATGGAAATCTCCATGGTCAAGGTCAAAAGGTCATAGTTGTTGGAATCCAATGAAAGTTCTTTCAACAAAAAATGTATATGTGAAGTATAAATGTCCTGGTATTTACTGTTCAAAAGATTTGGCTAAAGAAAAAGTTTGGATTTTTTGTGTAAAAGTGAGTCAAACTCCAAGGTCAAGGTCAAATTTGGTGATACTCAAAGAAAGGTCTTGTCACAAGAAATACACAGGTGAAATTTATATGAAAGTCATAACTCTGCTTAATCAAAAGTTATGGGCAAGGTTAAAGTTTTTGCTGATAAACAGACAAACAGAGAGAGACAGCTAGACAGACAGAGAGACAGACAGACGGACACGACAAGAACTATACACCCCCAAAACTTCGTTTACAGGGGCAAAAAAAATATAAGTTATATAAAGTAAATAGTGGTAAAATGTAAGTAAAGACATAAGTTATTACTTATATACACAAATTTAAGTAAATATAAATTACTAAGTAAAACTTTTTAGTGTGTAAGTAAAACAATTCTTTAAAATACAAAAATCAAGTAAAACGTTTGAATTTAGCAATTGACATATATTTCAGTAATTGGTTTAAAATTTAAAGTAAATGCTTAGTAATTATCTATTACTTATCTTTGTTATTTCAAGTAAAAAATGACTACTAAGTAAAACTTTTTTTAAGAGTGCGTTCGTAGTTCTTTAATTTTTAGAGATTTTTTTCGGTCTGGTATTTAATGTGATACATAAGTATATAGATACATTAGATGGTTAGTCTACCGTTCTTTTAAACAGAATACTGTATAAAATGTTATTTTCTCCCCTATTATTTCACCCTCTCATATGGTTTTTGATTCGCCCAGTCACCGCTCTGATTAGGAAATTATACCGTTTTCTTTGAATTCGTTTTTTTAAAAAATCGCCCACTTGTGGCTACGACGAAGAGCGCGCAAATAAAACGGAAAGGGATATTTCCCTGTTTATACAATGTACTTATATTCGTTAATACAGGAGCTGGTACATGAATAATCCGATTTGGATTGCAAGGGGCTGGCTTTAGTCAGACTGCAATGCAGATACATATATATGTTATAACTTTCCAAGGTACCATATAGAACCTCATTTTTAGCCCGATTTTCCCACGACATTAAAAGTGCAACATTTAACTGCATCGATTTGGAAACAATGATAAATTTATTTTTCTTGCATAATCATGTGGAATCTAAATGGAAATCCAAAATAGCAATGCTTATTTTGGTAGATTTTGTTTGAAAAGGAGTTGTAAATAAAACAAATCTTTCTTTACCATATATTTCATACATTTAAGGAAGATCAATATTGAGAAATGAAATGATCTACTATAAGCCTGACATGTAAGGTGTTTTAAAATTCTTAATGAAAAAAAAATATTTTGTGAAATCACCTATTTCCGTGCATGGGGGTTTAATTTTCGTGGTTTTCAAGGTTTAAAGAGATCCATGAATTTATGTCCACCACAAAATGTATTCTTTCACATATATTTCTACTGAACAATTCTTCAGCCTCAAAATCAAATCCACATGAACCAATATATTTTCCTAAAACCACAAAAATTTGACCCCTCGAAAATATGTAATTTTAGAGTACATAGAAAACATTAAGGTATTACATTGACATATAATATAAATTTGTGTGCTATTCTTTTCCTGGCCAAAAAAAATCACAATTTTTCGAATCTATGAAAAACATATAGATCTAGAAATCTTTAAAAAGACATGTGGTTCCAACTTATTTTCTCTCAACTGTTATGAGTCAAATGTAAAAAAAGAAGTCTCAACCCTCCGACTATTCAGTATAAATGACAGATGAATTTGTACGATGTCGTTCCTGTAGAAGTCTCTTGCAACCAAGTGGCCTTGTCCGTCCGCAGGTAGTCGCCATTACTGCCGGGTTCCCCATCGTCCCATTTAAAGTAGGTCATCAACTGTCCGTCATCATCAACGAAATTAGAACCACCAGATCGCGTCCCCTGCAGGTAGATAGGTCCCGCACGGTATGTATCTGTAACAAGTTTTAAAAATAATGTGGTTATTTTAAGCATATTACCCTGTTACATTGATTATCTTATTTCATCCAAACTTACAGTGCAATCGCTCTTGGTCCATTTCCTTCTAAAATGAACACAAAGTTTTTAAAAGTAATTCATTTTAATTATAAAATAATGAAAATTTCTTTCATCCATTTACGTTTTCCCCGATCATGACAAGGAGCTGACGACGGGGATGCTCATTTCTCCATGGTGCCTGATCCCACATTTGATGTTTTTCGAGTTCAGTACTTGCTCGGCTCCAAAGATCCTTTGTATTATTTGTTTGAAAGAACGAGGGCGCTTTTGATTGGCATTCGGCAGGAATCTGGGCGTAATTGAAAAGTGAAAATTCTATCGACATGTCACATAAAATTCTAACATTTTTTTATTTATCGGGTTCCTGTGCAACAGGAAAGGAAAATATTTTCCCGAAAATGAGCTTTGATTTGCTAAAAAATAACTTGAAAATTGGCCAGATCAGGGGCGTGTTTCACAAACGTTTCCTAAGATACGTCGTAAGACATAACTTAAGATATGCCTAAGTTATAACTTAGGAAGTTCCTAAGATTTGTCACAACTGTTTCACGAAACAATCTTATCTTAAATTTTTCCTAAGTCATTTCTTAAGTTGTACCTTTATAAGGACTAATGTAATAACTTCTCCGCTCTATCTACAACTCTCAGTATGTCAGTCTGGGTTATATTTTGAGCTTCAAAAAGGGAGGGGATTATCCCCACTTTCGAAGGACTTGGACAGAAGTAAGTTTTACTTTACGAAGTTTGCTGCTAGAACTGAGCATTCACAGACACACCCTTTCAAGCATTCTTCCCTTCCGAGCACACGACATTTGTATTTTTTAAGAATATTGTTCCACGTTTTATACGTTTACTTTTTTTGCTCTTTATAAGGTATCGATCCCAGGTATTGTTTTTTAATACTATACTTTTCTACTTGTCAATTATTGAATGAAAGTTTAAAATGATTGCTTCGTAGTGAACACATATGAGGTCAATAAAAAAATGCTTTTCTAATGACTGTTCTACGTTAGTTGTTCGTGCTGTGTAAAGCTTTCTCACATATATAAAAAAAGAATGCCATGCTAGAATAAAATCCCAACTGCGACTACAGATATGAAAATACTAAAAAAAAGAAATTAAAAAAGAAATTTATTGAAATCTCTTGCACAACTATACATTGTATTAAGCTGGGAGCATAACTGGTTGTAATCTCATGGCCGTATGAACTGGAGGAGCACGGGAGGGGTGTATAATAATAATTTTTCCTATGTATGGAATATTATAGAAAACTAAACTGCGTTATGGTTGTGTCTTCTCAATAAAAAAGCCCTAGAGGAAATTATATGCAACCATTCTTTGGAGAAACATCTATTTATCCGGAGCTTGGTTGGGGGTTCATCAAAAACCATATACTTATCTAAAGTGAACAAGTGTTTCTATTCATCTAAAATATCCTTTTTCAAATTCTATTTTAATATCCATTAAAATACTAGTAATATATACATAATATATATACATATATGTACATGTACATGTATATAAAAACATTATATATGCATGCATGTAAACTAGTATCAAATCATGTGCTATTTTTTGTTAACAAAGGCGTGCTCTTCAAATGATGGGGAATTATTCCAGTATGTGTACATCTATTTCGCCAACTTCAATTTTGTGAATTGACATTTTTATATACCTTGGACAAATTTTGATACATGTTGGCCAATTATTGAAATCCTAGTATTCACTTGCAAAGTAAAGCAGTTTTAACCTGGAGAGAACACAATCATCCATATACTAGTAGTTCATTGGATTTTCTCTCCCCAAACACATTCTCTCTCTCCATAAGAAATATTGGATATGCAGTCGGAATATTTAGTTTCTTCCTAAGTCATCGATTTACCTGTCCACAAGTTATGACATAACTTAAGAATATCCTAAGATAAGACGAGGTTAGTGAAACGGATAAGTAATGAACTTAGGAAAAAGTTCTTTCCTAAGATATAACTTAGTCCTACGTAGGCTTTGTGAAACGCGCCCCTGATATTTGGTACAAAATGGTACATTTTTAAACACGTTTATCTAAAATTTTTCTATCTCTGGGTCTTCTCTCTTTCATTTTTAAACGTTATTTGTGTGTATTGTAATTCAAAGAAACAAATACACATTTTTAAAAAATGGAACAAAGACCCAGAGACCACGAAAAATGAACTTTTCCCCCAAAAATGTGTGAATGTGGTGCTTCTTTGTCCTTTTAAAATCAGCCATATGCGGGTAGCGGTGATAGCTCAGTATGTTGGGCTACCTGTTCACTGCACTCGAAGCGAAAAGTTTTTGGTTCGAGCCTTGCATGGGGCGTTAATTTTTTTTTTCATGCAAACAACCATTTATTTTGTCAATTTCTTTTTATGTACTGATCTTATGATGTATTAAAATTTTGAATTAGATAAATTTTGGTTCAGTTTGGTTCTCGAGCGAAATCAATACTAATCGTCTATTCTATAATGTAAATGTACACGTATCATGCATCTATGCATTAAATATTTAGGTGTTTATTTTTTTGTGAAACATTACTATGTTATAGTACCCCCTAGGAAAAACGGACATAAATGTTACAATCTCACAAAGTCTTTCAAACTAAAAGAAAAAAAAAAACTATGGACGTGTTTGTAAAATCTGACCAGCTATGTTCAGCCAACCAAATCCTGGACATTTAAACCATATATGTTTCGTACAAATGATTCCTGCAGATCACACGCCAATTAAATGCGCCCATCTTCTTTAAGCTTAAATACTCTTCGTTACCACCATATTTCATTTCATTCTAAAAGATTTTAGCTTGAAACAGTTACATGTTAACTTAAGTAGTAAATGTTATTTTAGTCCATATTGAAATCGCAGCCTCAAAACGAATCGGTGTGTCTGATACTCTTGCCTTTGAATTAAGAAGAATAAGATGAAGAAAAATTAAGGAGAAGTAGATGGAGAAGAATGGAAAATAAAACAAAACAAACCAGAACACTTATTTAATTTTTTTCTTCAGACAAAAAAATTATCTGAATAATAGAAACGAAATAAATGTTGTTATCTTGTTCAATTACCTATTACTTGAACTGCAAAGTTGTATGTATCATCCGAGTCAACGAGCAACAGGCGGCTCTTTGCGTGTTCTGACTGACATTTTGCTGTGGCATTAAGGACATTAAGTTTGGATCCATGAAGATGATAACATATACCATAAACAAAATCCCAGATATAGCCAAGCTGTTCCAGTGAATAGCACAAACCTGTTAAGGAATATGATGGTTACACAGTGAGTTCTTCGTGTTAATAAACATAACTTAATGTATCATGAGAAAAATGTTACCATAAAGTCAAGTTTTACTGTAGACCCTCTAACAAGTCCGTGTTAGCTCTGCTCCCAATTTGTAATGTTTTAACGTAGGATTCTTCCCACATTTCTTGTATTTAAAAATTAATGAAATTTTCACAGAATCGAGAAGATAATATTACTAAGTGATGATATCAGGGAGATTAAATTTGTTCTAATTTAATATTAGAGGAAGGGTCAGGTCAAGGTCATTACCTTTTTCCTGGAAATTAAGAATAAAAAAATACTGTTTCAAATCATGCAATCCCTTCTTGTAATTCAAAAGACTGAATGTTTTCTTTTTTCATAGAAAGATACTACCATATAGGGCCTATAAGATGATATCACCAAATTGACATGGATAATTTTAAATAAAATGGATATTTGCTAATCCGAATTTCCTCTACTTTTCTTAAATTTTTATGATTAATTAGTTATTTTTATAATGCTTCCTATACTTAACTTTTCCCCATTTTCACATATAGTAAAGTTGTCACATAAAGGTACGAAATGATAAAAAAAACTAAAAATTTTGATCGTTTACTAAGAGAGAAATAACACTTTTTACGGATTTTTGGCTCAAATCTGTACTTATATTTGAAGTATTTAAAAGCCAACATAGTTCTACTATGTATGAAAAATCTTATTTATTTGATATATTTTGAAACTTTAGTCTCTTATTATTAATTTAACTTACATTTGAAAATTTCGTCTAGTCTTTGCATTGCATTGCATAAAAATTATGACTAAATTCAATGTTCTATGATAATTCTGAGAGCCAGAAAAGAAGATATTTTCATACGCCACCATTCCGCCAAAAATATAGTCCCTGCTAGTTTTCAAACGCAGTTGACCATTTCTATTTAAAATTGTATAATTGTGATGAGGAAAGATAAATATGGTCTTTTAAATCTCTTACATCTAAATATATAAGACATATCAACAAATGTACATTGAATATTCCATCTAGTGAGAAACCAGAGAAGAATCCCATCTTAATGGACTTCTGATCTTGATTATTGATCGTTATGTCCAAAGTCATTAAAAGTATATAATTGTATATATCATTTTTTGTTTGATCAGATTTAAAGTTTACATTAAATATGATTTTTTTAAATCAGAGAACACAAAGAACAGTGCATAAAACGTTTCTTTCATCAATATATTAGATTAATATACACACCTAGCATCGAGCTAACAGAGGGTTCAGTCGCAGCATAGGTAGTATCCTTTTGACTCCATTGGGTTGACATTTCTGCAGTTGTTGGCGGGAATTGGTCAAGAAGAAAATAGCGCGTTCCATGCATTTGGATTAAGCTTGCAGAATTCTGAGAAAACGCTGTTGAATGACCCCGACAAATCAATGGTGAATAAAAGACTGATACACAGGTTTTGACATATATACATTGAAGAACACACTCAAGAAGACGATGTTTCGGTGAAAACACGAATTCCTGGTCAAAGCTTACTTTATCATCCAGATACCTTATATGTTTATATTTGGAAATACTTGTGCCTACTTTCGTTGAACTGATTTTAGTTACAAGAATTAAAACCAACAAAGACACAAAGGATTCAGGAATTATAAACATATTTTTTCATGTCACATTTCTGATCTTTACAGTATGTTTCTCCTGATGATTTGAATAACACTGCTAATGAAATCCCGTAATATTGAACTCTATTATCAGAGTGATTCTAGATTTAAATGCTCGCCAATCTCATGAATTGGAATTCATATGATAAATTTAACAAATCGATTTTGACAAATTAAAATCGTTATAAGAAATTAAAAAAAACAGATTACACCGAAATAAATTGTAGTTACATGTACTTTCATTTATATGTCGACTCAATATATCCCAGTGAGTTTGAAATAAACGACACAACATCTGTTTCATATTGGGATGAATTACTGAATGCAGACAATTAAAAGAGCTTTTAGCGTTGTCAAATTTCATTATACATGTATATGTAAACATATTCTGCTTTTCCTTGCAGGTTTACTTTTCCAACTTACTTGATAATCAAGAGTATGCTGTTATATTAGTTCTTAGACAAAGGCAGGTTACTGACAAAGAAGTTTATGTTATTGGTATTTTAACTAACTCTTTTAAAGTCAGCAGTAGTCAATTCTACAATCGCTATAAAGATATTGTTAACAAATACAACTTATCATTAGGCCGTATTAGAGCTGACTTGTTTTATACTAAATGTAAGCCTATGGCGTTTGATTTTATAATGTATTTGACTGTATTAATGTATCAAAGCCATAGGGCTCTCAGTGGATTATAGAACAAGCGTAAACTGGCCCCAACCAGGTTATACTCGAATAATTTGGCCAAGATTAAGTTATTAAACATCTGTGGTTGTAAGATTTCGTTGATTTTTAGAAGTTCAAATTTGCCGCTCAATAATACAACCGTAGTAAAGTGTAATGGGTAGCGTATGTGGCCATGCCTACTATAGTCGAATCAGAGGGGATATTGGAAAGTGGACTCTTCCAATAGGCTGATCACCCCTCTGAGTAAATAGAATGGTCCGTAGGTATATAAAGGAGACGCTGGCAGCTGCCAGGCATTATTCTGACGGAATCAGACTGAATCAGTTGTTCAGATTGGAAGATAGAAGAAGAAAGCGCAAGGTAATAAAGTCATTACTTGAAATAAAAAAAATAATAAAGCAAAGGTTAAAAGCGCATTAGTGGAAAGAGAACAGTCTAGAGGAATTGTGGTGAGGTACCAGGGCGAAGTAATTCTGCATAAGGGTGAAAGAACCTGGTGCTTCACTTAACAATAGGAACTCTGACTATTCCAGGAACACAGTGCAAGTTACCTTGCTCAGAACCACGGCCTACCATTGAAATTAATTGTACATAGTTCCAATCAATAATAACTCAGATAGAGTAAGAGGAAAAACACATATATATTAATAAAGAACCCTTGTCCCTTGTAGAACCCAGTAGGTTTACACGTTACATTTTGGTGGCAGCCGGTCAAGGGATAGGGTATTTAATTTAGTTTGATTTTAATTAGAAATTAATAACATTTGGTAGAAAATTCTTGATTTTGTAATTGTTACTTGTTAAAAAGTTGTTTGGGGTAGGCTGTTTAGAAAAGACCAAGTGCCGTGAAGGTACCACGTACAATTTAGGATCCGTGACACTGTACCTATATAAAAGAAAGAACTTTGTTCAAGGGTACTGTGTCCTGTGTACTCGGTTACTTTGTATCAGGAACCGTGTTCTGTTTCATGATTAAGGGTACTGGGTATCTGTTTACAGTGTACAGAACTGTTGTATAAAGTGTTAGACTTACGAAAACCCCAGTACTATCACTAATATGAATATACCGATATTGGAAAGGGAAATTCTAGGGGATCTCGAGGAGATAGATGACAAAAGGCAAAAACTTAGGGAAACGTTAGAGACCTTAAGATCAACACCGTCCATTCACAAATCCAAGTAATCTCCATTTTCTGTTATCCGAGACTCGGGTGTAGACATGAAGCAGGAAAACGTAGACGATACAGCAGACGAGTTTTGTCAAAAGTACTTACGTCCGTCTTACCCCACCAGCAGTACCTACGGTCGTTACACAGGAACTACAGCGGCTAACTACAGAGGATGGGAAACTCCGAAATATACCTCTGCTAATCTAGAGGAACGAGGTGATCGACCAAAGGATGGTAGTTATGAACTACACAAAGACACTTGGAGCAAGGGGTCTCTTGATAAAGATTATCAATTTTACCAAAGAGTTTCTACACCCAAGCCACATTCTGAATTACCGGAAACCAAGGCTACGACAACTCCAACAAGTGTTACATGGAGCTTCACAAAAAACAGTAGTCCACTGGCTAGTGTATACCAAAGTAGGGGAGCCGAGGTAACGCCGAACCAAAGCACCAGTAGTAAACAGTTTGGGAAGACTGTGATGAAACCGGCTACATTTGATGGAAATGGTTCGTGGATAGACTATAGGGCGCATTTTGAAGCATGCAGTAACATTAACATGTGGAACCCGAGACAGAAGGGACTATACCTTGCTGCGTCCTTACGGGGACAAGCCCAGACGGTATTGGGTAATATGCGACCAGATAATGCATGTGCATATCGAGATCTGTGCGAGGCACTGGAGTCAAGGTTTGCCCCAGCCAACCAGACCGAACTGTACAGAGCAATGTTACGGGAAAAGCGTCAGAAACCAAAGGAAACCTTGCCTGAGCTAGGTGAGAGCATACGAAGGTTGACTCATTTAGCATACCCCACAGCTCCATGTGAGGTGACAGAAATGATAGCAAAAGATCAGTTTGTTGACGCTCTTACTGATTTTGATATGAGGTTAAGAATTCAGCAATCAAGACCCAAATCACTTAACGAGGCCATACGACTTGCGGTAGAAATTGAGGCATTTTGTAGGACTGAGCGTCAAAGGAGACAAGAAGCTGGATTTGCCAGGGGAGCATTAGTAGAAAAAGCTACGATGAAAGAACCTGAGAGCAATATACGGGGTGATTTAGAGGAACTGAGAGAAGAACTGAGAACATCTCTGAAGATAGAGCGTAAAATGGAGGCATTGGCTGATGCCAAATTAAAAGAAAAGAACTCTTATGACAAGCAGAAAATTCCTCCCTCTGCAAGTAATTTTCCATACAAGTGTCACAACTGCGGAAAAAGAGGACACCAAGCCAAGAACTGTTATGCAAAGAACAAGGTGACCGGTGACCAAGGCAAGAACCAAGTACAGAGGTATGCAGTAAGCAGTAGTGTAAAACAAACTGAAAGGACGAACAAAGATGTCCAGGGTACCAAAGGAGCTACAAGTTCCCTCACACAAACCAGAATGGATATACAAGCCGGTCTTTTTGTAAATGCACTTGTGAATAAGGTACCATGTAATTTCTTGGTAGACACGGGAGCAACCTTAACAATTATTTCAGATACTATTTTCAAACAGATTGCCAAAGAAGACAGAAATGAACTTATTCCCGTTACCCAGAACATCATTCTAGCGGATGGAGCTATGCTAAAGGTAAAAGGGAAATGCAATCTGCACATAAGTCTCGGAACATGTGAGATTCACTTTGAGGTAATGGTTGCCGATATAAGTGCAGAAGGAATCCTTGGTTTGGATTTCTTCAAGCGGAATAAATGCTTGGTAGATGTGACATCTACCAAGATGTATATTGGAGATACCGAACATGAACTTTTGTTAAAAGGGCACATAGGATGTTTCCGTGTGAGTATCAAGGAAACTGTTTCTATACCTCCAAGAAGTGAATTGGTTTGTCAAGGTCAATTGTTACTTCCACCTGATACGGAATACTCTGAACCTTTAGTCATTGAAGCCAGTGAGAAGTTTAAGAAATCTGGTAAGGCCTTGGTTGCGAGATCCCTCGTGAATCCTGAAGAGGAGGTGATGTTAAGGTTAATGAATTTGTCCAGTGATCCCAAGACTGTGTACAAGAATACCGTTGTGGGGACAACATCACCTGTTGCAAATGTGATCGAGAACAAAGACCTCAGCTGTAATATTGACACCGTCGAGGATACCAATGCTATTCCGGATCACTTAAAGGAATTGTTCTTGGAAACAAAACAAGAGTTAGACCCAGACCAAGCAGAGAAGGTGAGGAACCTTCTCATTAGGTTCCAAAACATCTTTTCGAAAAGAAAAGATGACTTTGGCCGAACTTCAGTCGCGAAACATAAGATCAACACGGAGAACGCAAAACCTACAAAACAGCCTCCTCGTAGATTGCCTCACCATGCTGCTGAATTCGTAGACAAGGAGGTAGAAAACATGATAGAAAAGGGAATAGTAGAACCTTCGTCAAGCCCTTGGGCTGCAGGTGTAGTGCTTGTTGAAAAGAAAGATGGAACAAAAAGGTTTTGTGTGGATTACAGATCCCTGAACAGCAAAACAGTAAAGGATGCATATCCTTTACCGAGGATTGATGACTCGTTAGACCGTTTGCGGGGAGCAACCTGGTTCTGCACCCTTGATCTCCACTCCGGCTATTGGCAAGTCGAGATGGAAGAAAGTGACAAGCCAAAGACAGCATTTGCTACTCGCAACGGACTATATCAATTTACTGTTATGCCATTTGGCCTCTGTAACAGTCCGGCAACATTCGAGAGACTTATGGAATCAGTATTATCAGGTCTCAATTACAAGATATGCTTGGTCTACATCGACGATATCATTGTATTTGGACACACGTTTGAGGAAACCCTAGTTAATTTAGAACAGGTTTTTGTCAAATTGAGAGATGCAGGTTTAAAGCTAAAGGGAAAGAAATGCTCTTTGTTTAAGAAAGAAGTGTTATTCCTGGGATATAAAGTGTCGGGGAAAGGAGTACAGACGGACCCACAGAAGATTTCTGTCATATCCAAGTGGCCAGTTCCCCTGAATGCTAGTGAAGTAAGATCCTTTACAGGGTTATGTAGTTACTACAGAAGATTTATAAAAGGGTTTTCCTCCATTGCTAAG